TATATATATATATATATATATATATATATACAGGGTCCATATTTAAAATTGGTCTAATGCCCCCAAAATCTCAAGGCCGGCCTTGGTGGCTTCCAAGTAAATTATGCTCATCACAGGTTGTTAGAGCCTGTATAATTTTGTTACGTATATATAGAGGATTTCATATTTGAAATTGGTTTAAGGCCCCAAAATCTCAAGGGCGACTTTGGTGGCTTCCAAGTAAAATATGCTAGTCACAGGTTGTTAATGCCTGTACAATTTAGTTTCGCCCATTTTCTTTTTGTTTTCTCAAAATGTGGGCCTGCTCGAGTTGGCTCACTACGTGGCTCGAGTCATACCTAGGCCGTGCTTTTCATGTGTTGGTTCACGCACATTTTGACTCGTCTAACTCATCGTGACTTACTTTTGTCACGTGAATGCGTGTGAACGTGTACTGTGTCTATTATTGAAGTTATGAAATTGGTGAGACAAATTTAGCCTAAAGCAATCAAAATCTGAGAGGATCCTCATTTTAAGCTAAACTACAAGGCACTATAAAACAGAGAAGCCTCCTCTATCTGTTGAATAAATAACTAAAGTTCTACGCAACTATGCTTCGTCTACAAATAATACAAACAGAAAATAACCACAAGTTGATCGAACAGCTTTAGTTTCTGGAGTCAGTGGGAAATCAATGAAGGTGTGGTTCCCACGTTTAAAGCTTTTGAGATCAAGTGGTTTTTAAGAGATTGGACGACTCCACCAGATGGGTTAACTCTCACTTGAAATTTTAATTTTCTACAAATGGTATTGGAGTTGGGCTCTAATTTAATCATGTGGATGCACATCCTTAGTTGCAGTTTAACGAAGGTGGTGGATCCTAAGTTGGAACGTGATGAGTGGGAAAATTCATGTAGCAAAAGAGCCGGTTGATAGAACATGTAATCTTTCCTAGGTTGAGAAAGGATGATTGATGGACTATTGCTTGAAGGGTGGTCGAGATGGTATGATATTTTGTTCGAGGGGTGATTGTTGGGAAAGTGCGATCAAAGTTTCAAGTTGGTTTCTCATGAGGTGAATGATTTATTTGTAAGGGATTGAGCTACTTCGGATTAACTTTTTAAGATGGAATATTAATTTATTTCCTACAATTAAGTGCAATATATACAACTGTGTTGTATTGTTATCAAGAAGCGAGTAAAAGATCTCCTATTCGACCTTGATTGACAATTCGTGTTTTTATTCATGCCTAGTCCTTTGTCAATATTATTTAAACAAGTGTTCAATTGAGGGAGATCGAAAAGTAAAGAGATAATTTTCGACCTTACTCAACATTGATGGATACATAGATGAAGGAAAAAAAAATGATTTTACGGTCCTCAAATCCCTTGGGGTAAGTTGTGCCTTTGTTGATACAGGTCGATGAAGGCTGGAAATGATAGAAAAATAATAATTTTTTTGAGTAGGTGTTCAAGATAAAGAAATAGAAATGGAAAGCCTACTTGATTTTCATAATCAACGTTAAAAATGTCTACTCGACATTCAAAACATGTTTTAAGAAGGATAAAATTATATTTTGGTTTTGATTAAAGATTATTATTTTCACAATCAAAGTCAAGGGTTTACGGAATGGGATCTCCCATTCCATTTGCTCCCTTTTTCATAATAAAAAAGCAAAAAGAAAAAAAAGG